TCTATCTATCTACCTCAACGATCCAGTGAATAAGAGCAAATTTCCCTTTGTTTTTGGCTATCTGACTTCTACATATTTATGGACGTGGTCTTTTGAGACGGCTATAGATTATCGCCTAGCTGCTTCAGCCAAAAAGTCTGGACGAAAATATGCAGAATAAGAGGGTAGATGCTATCGATGTAAGTGCATGTTGGGACACGTTAACTAGTTGATCAGTCGAACGTACGCATACGCGATCACGTGATGAATTTTATACTGTGTTTCAAGGTCACGAAAATAACTATATGTAAAATGGCGTCCGCATTTTCAGAAGACTTTCTAATTATATGAAAAATTTCGTGTCGATCAAGCTCAACAGAAGCCATTGTAGAAAATAGGTATTTCAAACAGAGTTAGTGAAATTAATTAATAACTGGCAGCGGCACACGGGCATTTTGCGCTGTAATTTTTAGAATCTAATTCGGCTGGAAGAATTCTCCAGTGCCTTCTTCCTTTATGCTTTATGGGCTTGTCGTATGCACTTTTACATATGTAAAGGTGATATAGTGATATAATATTATATCACTATTGTCCAAAGCAGACTATATGCGCAAACTTACATTTTAGTTCTTAATTTATTAGCAGACGAGACGGTTTGGGTTCGTACGCGATTAGAACATGTTCCCCGTTTCCTCACATGGATTTATTTTAAAATTCACACCATGCCCTTTTACTGGATAGTTCTTTAGCATGATTGAATTCGCATGGCTGATTCGAACGCACAGACCTTCGGTAAAATCACCCCGTCACCAATGGTTTTGTTTCGCGGCTGAGCTGAAGAATTCCATTTGAAACCACAAAACTCTAACTGATACTAATTCCATTTTGCAATCTGTATAATTTTATATAAAAACGTATTGAAAAAAGGCGAAATATTTTCCCCATATTACACATCGGGTGTTAATATGCGAATATTTCTGATGTTCGTGGTCGGCGGATATGGACCCAAGAATCATTGAGAACACACCCCATGTAAATAAATCATGGATGCAAGGCGATAGGAAAAAAAGTGTCAGTAAAAGGAATTCTTACTAAGTATACAAGTTCATGAATTTCCCAACAGTGAGGTCATCTCGAAATATTATCATGCAACGGAAAATCAGAGTTCCATTTTAAAATAAATGCTTAAAGATTCGTACAAAGGCAGGCAAGCGGCTTCAGTTAATAGGAAAGTGTTCCACATCTCGTGGCAGAAATGATCTTTCGGAGAACGGAGGTTTCTGAAGAGTAAATGTGCTACATTCCAGCGGAAGCGATACCAAGCTGAGCACTGCTACAGTCAGGAGAATTAGAAAGTTATAGTTATTGTACCATTTTTAAACCAAGCTGTGAGATGTCAGAGAAGATTCCTTGAAAAATGCTCAGCAGACCCAAAATGCTCAGCAGACCCAAATTTAAGATAGAGATAGGGACCCTTCAAATACTCCAGCAGTATATGTAATGAGTCAAACTTGAAATCCCCAAAAATTAGCACGCTGGTTCGCAGGAATTTAGGCCCTTTTGTGGATTATGGCGAATCCTTTGTGATATATGGTTTAACCAGAGTATACCTCTCCCCCTTTTGCGGTTTATGTAGATACTACGAAACTTTACATAAAAACAACATTTGGGTTGTGCAGTATCCCTAATTTGTTTTTGTGCACTAATGTGTACATCATTAGTTTGTCTTCTAGTTGTGAGTATTTTGCGTCGGTCATCGGTTAGTCTCTATCGTACTTGTTTAAATCCTTTTTTTGTTGAAGGAAAGAGGCGAGATCCTCCACAACAATAGCTTTTTATGCGTGACTTTAAGAACAGATCACTATCATGCCATCAGATGACAGGTGATGCACAAAAACTGTTAACTAGAGTTGATAGTTTGGGTCGCCCGAGCTGTTGGTGCTTGTCATTTCTCTCGCAATAATCTCATGAGTAACTGGTGTTTGTTCAACTTCTGAGGGTGTCTTGTTTATTCCTGTTTCTGAGTTAGACTTAACTTTTTACCCATTCACTTCTGACAAACGATCCGCAGGGCTATATAGTCCTGGTAGCAAGAGTATATTATCTCGATATTGAGTGGCTAGCGGATTTTCGATAAGGGCATATCGACTTTATAGCGATTTTGCCCGCCGAATTTTCATCAAGGCGTCATTAATTTTTGAGATACTCGAAGAACGGCGACAGCAGGACGTACAACATTTCATGCGACGTCGCATGAAATGCTGTACGTCTAGCAGACTTCCCTACCCTTATAATAATTCTGTCTAAATTCTGCGCAGAATCTAAGCAGAGGTTTAGAATAATTTACGCAGGATCTGCGCCTAGGTTGTCACTCCATTCTGTTCAGAATCTGCGCCGAGGCCCGGCACAGAATCGGCGCCGAGGCTCGGCAAGATTCGGCGTAGAATCTGCGCCGACAATAATCGTTGCGGTAATTGGGTTTTTTTTATGCAAGCTAAATTGTGGTACATGAATACGAGCTACGTTATGAGGATATCACTACCGTTCACATAATTTGACGTCGATGCCTTATTCACACGCCTTCCGAAAGTCAATCTGAAAGGCCCTTTTCAATTGTGTCGGCCGCGATTCTGCGCGGAGTTCCATATTGCGAAAACATCTATGTTGTCACATAAATTATTAAGAAATTGATGGATGTCATACCCACAACCAAACTGTATGCCGTTGATCCAAAGAAGGCCCGTTTCCCTGTCACCGGTCGTAAAACGTCAGCTGTTATACTGTCGTAGAACAGTGTATTGAAGATCCTCTCTGCAAAGGCAGTAACAGTGTCCCCGCCGTTGGTATTTAAGTGTGAAATCTAGTAGCAAACTTGTAATTTGAGGGTGTACTTTCCATCTGCTGTCGGAAGTCAGAAAGACTGCTAATAAATAAATCAGCTCCTGTAGGGTTGCCGTGAGTTGCAACACGGGTCCATGAAGCGCTGGAGTGGGCGTGGATCTACAGTGGCAAGCATGCGCATTACGGCTGTCATAAAGGTCAACTTATTGCATCTTCATTTCCTACATTGTTTTAGCGTTCTGGACCGAGTGCCGCATCATCCATCGTAAGCAGGTTTTCAGAGAAGACCTCCGTCAGAGGGAGGAATGACGGCGTTGCCATTTGTGGTGTCGGCTGCTGGTGCCTAAGGCGAGCAGTTCAGATGGGTAGACGAATACCTGTGTGTGATGGTGACGTGCCCAAGGAGTTCGTATTGTCAGCCTCCGTTTGCTGAAAGGGGATGGGTGTAATTTAAGTCGCAGTCCCATTGACGATGATGATATGCCTGGAATTGTTGCCCATAGGCATTCCTTCTTTTACAGATTTTTCGCCGATCGCTTCGGCTGTTCCTTATGCCTCCATTATTCAATGTCAGACAGCAATCTGCTACAAACCAGTACATTTAGGGGTTATGAGAGTTAAAACTATGCAAACATTCACTCTCTCCCGTCATTATCCACGAAATAATAACTAAGGGACTGTTCGGTTGCAGGTTCGTGGATAGTGACCGGTGACAAGTGAGAGACAAAATGATTTCGCAATGAGTACGGGAGAATAGGAGGAAAGGTTACCGTCCGACTGCGTTATCGAAAAGCCGGTGAACTGCACGAACACTCAGCGCTGCCAGTAATCCATTCCCAATGCCCCTTGATTTTCATCAGGATCAAGTGGTCATCGATGGTAAAGCAATCGTATTTGCAAACTACAAGCGCTGACAGTTGTCCCACTGCTAGCTTTAAAAACGTTTGTATTCTATGAGTGCATAGGATAATCAAAGTAATCTTCAACATCCTCGTAGTCAACATAAACCAGTCCTACGTCTCGACGGGAATATCTTGTTATGTTCTTAATGCACACCAACTTGCCGTCGACTGCTAGTGACCCCTCTGGTGGATTTGTACCAATGATAAGTCCTTCCTGGATCGACCTAAATTGTGTAAACTTGCCGCCCGTTAGCGGTACTGGACCTTTGCAGTGCTCGTACTGAAAAGTCCACTCAATTGGATATGGTAATGCGCGTCGCTCAGGCCTCAGCTCCACTAACAATTCTGGTCAGAATCTACGCCGAATCTAAACAGAGGTTTAGAATATTCTATGCCGAGGTTGTCACTCATTGCCAATCATAATTTGCGCCGAGGTCCAGCACAAAATCAGCATAGAACCATCGCGCCTTCTTTTCAATGCTACTCAAGGCATCCTGTAGGAGACGAAAGATGCGGATGGTTATTAAATTTAAAAAAACAATTTTGGGAAATGTACGGGAGATACAGCAAAATTGTGCAAAATAGAGTACAAACCAGTGTCTCATAAAAAAGTAAAACTGTGCTTAATTATACACATAATCGTGATTAAAACGTTTATTGAGGGCGTAGCAATATAGAAATACCCATCCATATCCCGTTTTCTTCCTGGCTTTCTCCAGGAAGTCTCCTGACGGACTCTCACATAATTGGGTCCCAAAACGGAGTATGTCAAAACTAAACAAGGGAACAAAACAGGGTCGCGTTAGCCTTCTACAAGCCAATTGTTCTTTCACACCGCCCATAGTCTGATGGGAAGGAGGGGAGGTAAGGCAGTTTCGAAAATATACGCAGTAGAAGCTATCTTCTTCCCAAAGAATTTCATCGCTTTCTAATTAAATTTCTTGGGATGCCCGCCTCTCAACACATGCACACGCATATATATGTGCGACAAAAGTATACATCTATGTGTGTACGCTCACACACACAATCCTCATTACCAAAATGGCCTTACAAATAACTCGCATTGGACAGTTGTTAAAAAGTACTGCTATTTTTAAAACTACTTTCTTCGTAGATGAGCTTATCTCGTTGCGTCGACTTTGCACGCCTCAGGGACTTCTTACACACCACTTCATCCAATGACACAGTGATACTATTCACCGAAGCCGACAATCTCCTGCGTATACAGATTTTTCGGGAAGAAAAACTGTGGACCACTGGATTGTCGATGTCTCAAATGGTTGCATATTCAAGTGCTTTGAGTATTCGCAGCGTTCAGCTGTTTCTTGCCTGGATAAGGTGAGCCCACGACCGACATCTCCACTGTCTATTCAGGGAGAAGACATCTCAAGATCAGTTTTCTCTCCAGGTGGAGGACCCCAACGACCTCGGAATTACTTTTGGTTCTTCTCCACCAATGCAACTCACCATTCCGCTGAACCTTGTTGAAGGCCTGAGGCCCTTTGTGGAGACTCTCGTTAGGGCCCTGGCAAACGCGCAGGCCAGATTAGCAACTCTGGAGAAAAACGTTGCTGATATGTCCGGGTACGCTTTCCTCATTCTCGAGTTTTTGTTTTTTTCTTGCAACATAAAGGCTGCCTGAACCATTTAGCTTTATCAATTCTCCTGTCTGGCTTGAGCAACTACCAGATAGGTTGAGCCAGGGTCAGGCTGGAAGCTCTGCGTTTTAGTAAGAAAGACTGGCTGAACACCGGAAATGTTTTTTTTTCTGTGCCGTTTAACTCGTGCAGGAGTCCACTGTCAGGGGTGCTGACCAGTCATCAGTCGATGACTGCGCACGGCCCTGTACGCCGGCTCCTGATCGATAAATCGATTAGTTGAGTTTCCATCTGCGGCTCAGGCTGAAATCAACGCTCGGCCTGTTTTAATTTCCCGTGTGAATGATTATTTTGGTCGCTGCGAAATCAAATTCATAACCCACTTTGTAGATGTGGGCATCCACTTGCGATAGTTAGTCCCCTCGTCGCACAGCCAGCTTATGTTCGTGTATCAACTATCTGAGCATGCGTCCAGTCTGAACTTTATAGTTATAAGGACATTTTTGGCACGGGATGCGCTGCACGTGGAGTAGTACTACCCCAGATTGTTCTTCGGGGTCTAATCGGTCTGCAATTTTCTCAACCTTGCTGCGCATGATGGCTTTTGGACCGGTTTGCAACTCTTACACCTGGTTTCGCAGCCATACGCCGGTCGCTTCTAAAACGTCCTTAGTGTATGACAGAAAATGACATATCCTTGGGTCTTCTGTGGGCGACCGCGTAGGCAAGGGCTTATGAACGCCTTCGGAAAGCCATTCTGCGCAAACTGGCCGCAGCAATAACGGGTCTCAAGTGCTCCTTCCGCCGGTTTACTGCAATGAGTCTGGGTCCGTTTGAAGAGCGTTTTTTCGTTGGTGTGCCGCCGGATGAATGTTGAAACCGAGAAGCTGTGTGGTGTTCGTTGCCCTCCTGCAAACCGTCGTTTCAAGTTCATCGTTCAGATTTCGTCTGATGAGCACATCAAGGACGAGCAACTGCTGCTCCTGTCCCTCTTCCCTCTGCGTTAAGCAGGTTGCGGAAATTTTGTAGCATCTTTCTTTACGACAGCGAACGTGTCGTCTACGTAAGCGCACCAATACCGGCTCATGCTGGATGAAGGCAATCGATCCGTCGCCGGCGTACAGAGCTTCCCGCAGCCACCCCCAATCTTGCGTCATCAATCAGCGATGAGCTAGTACCCCCTAAAATCGTCGCTCGTCCTGTTGCTGCCACTATCCCTGACGCTGGACCCCTGGACGGTTTCGAGAGCTCAGATCCCGTCCGGTGCTCGACCAGTCTCCTTCTGTGCTAGTCACTGTTACTTCACCGGGGAAACTCGGGCGCCTTGTTAGTCTTCATTTTTCGCTCTGTATGAATCTCATCATCTAGTATTTGGAATGCACCCTGAGCAACGAACTCATGTTGACCGCTACAAGCCATCCTACCGAGATGGCTAACAGCTGCTGTTGCCACACAAATTACAAGAAAACATTTTTTCGTTGCAGAGTAAAAGATGCGATACTTCCTTCACCTCAGAAGAAGAGGGCACCTGGAATGAGCTCAATTAATCCACAGAATCGCAAAAGAAAGCCCGCCAGGGGATTAAATTTCTCCGATGACGAAGACCGTATCGAATGAACCGTCTGCCTCTCCCCGCGATCTGACTCTCCCTGCTATTTCAACCACACGTCCCACGGACCTGACACCGTCGCAAGTAACTTCTTTCAAATTGTGGATCCTCAGCTGCCAGTGTCCTAACGTTAGTTCCTTGACCTCTCCCCAAATTCAGCATTGGTGTTGTGGATAATTTTTTATCTGATAATAAATGCGATGCTTACTTTAGTAGTAATTTTGCTCCTGGATGACAAGACACTACGATCAAGGGGGGTTTATCCGAATTGAATTTTTAATGCACCCCCAGTCTTCGTAAAGCGTACAAGTTTTCGAATCTTACTGATGAAAAGAAAGAAGATTGAAGTGATCATTTCTGGCTTATTCGCTGTCGTACATCAGCACTGGGACACGTGGACCCAGGTCCGAGTAGCTGGATAGATCCTTTGCCGCTTGGATCTCAAAACGCAACTCGACACAGTTCGCCAAGACATGGAAACAGTCCATGGGTGTTCTGTATTTGGTCTCCGTCGCCGAGGAGAGCAAATTGGGTCGATTGCACCAGATCCATCGGCACAAATCGCCACGCATGCAGAGGTACAATCTGCGATATTATCGAGGCCAACTAGATCAAGTGCGATCACGGCCTTACCAAGTACATTTAAGTAAGCACAACGGATTAAGGCAGCCATGTAGGTGGACAGTAGATAATCGAGGATTGCTATGCGACGAAATAGCCTGAGAGTACTATAGACAGGAACACATGAAAACACTTTCGAGGATTCATGGCATTTTGCGGGACTGGTGTTTACCGGCTTCGTCGATTAAAGATCTAAACGGCAGCCAGATCAGGGAACACCATTTCCATATGATGTCGGACACTCCTGACTGTACACGAATATCTTTAATTACGAAGGAGCGAGGCCTAGACCTGCCGGTGGTCGAACTTTGGCTGGCTGAAGACTGCAAACGAACCAGAAGCAACCATTCGCCTTGCCGGCAACATCCACCCGTTAACAATCACTGGCCGTCATGCAACAGCCTGCAAGGGCAGTGGATCGGTGCCAAGGGTCAAATGTAACGCCCGAATTTCGTCCTGGAAGCAGGCCAGACCGCTGAGCACTACTCACACGACTTTGCGCATGCCCGATCAGAGCTGACAAGACGCGGGCTCGTGTCTCGACTGACGAAGGAGCGCGGCCGGGGCAGCCACTTCAACTACCCCCCGCCTTCGTCGACAGTAACTTTCAATTGGCATCATTCCTCCGCCCGGAAAAAACCAGACAGAGAGAACCGCAGGGGCAAGGAGGAAGTATAGTGAAAAATGGCCAGCTTGAGTGAATACCGGCAGAGTTCGACGAATCCGAATTGCGGAATGTCAGTGGGTATGATATCAAGTTATTAAATGCTTCTACAAAATAAACAGAGAGCATAGAAAAGTGGAGGTACGCAGGATTACAACAAAGGGCTGGTGGTAGCTACTATAGGTGTACGAGGTGTCAAATAATTACGCAAAAATAGTTTTTGTAATATTAAGTATTGCAGCCAAGGCATGCGCTGCACAATGTTTAATGCAAAGGGAGCGG